TGCCCTTTAGCTAACAAACCAGAATATCATTTCCTTTGAGCACTTCAAATACTTGTAACATTTTTTCTCTTACATATGGATGTTTAGGGTCTATATAAAGTACCAACTCATGGAAATGCTAGATACTTTCTCACCATTGTAGATGATTATTCTAGGATTACCTGGCTGTTTCTCATTTAATTCAAATCACATGTTTTTCAAACACTTAGAGAATTCTTGGTCATGGTTCAGAATCAATTTAAACAAACTCCTAAGTGCATAAGAACATACAATGGTTTAGAGTTTTTCAATAAACATTGTCATTATTTGTTACAAGATAAGGGCATCATTCATCAAAGTACATGTACCGATTCACCTCAACAGAATGGCATAGTTGAGAGAAAACATAGGCATATCCTAGAGATAGCTAGAGCATTGAAATTTTAGTCTAGCATACCAAATAGTTTTTGGGGATATTGTGCCAACATTGCTGTTTACATCATTAACAGATTGCCAACAAAAGTTCTTAAATGACTGTCACCATATGAAAGTTTTTTGGCAAGAAACGTAAACTTGATCATTTGAAAGTATTTGGTTCTTGCTTATGCTATTGTCATATCTCCTAAAGACAAGCTCTCTCCAAGATCTAATCCATGTGTATTTATAGGATATTCTCCCTCACAAAAACGATATTCTTTGTATGATTTACATCTCATTTTGTGTATGTTACTAAGGATGTAGTTTTTCATGAAAATATTTTTCGTTTTACTTGGTCTCAATCATCTAAACCACTTTTCTTGTTTGAACCTTTCATGGAACTTGAATCTGTATCTTCATCCTTATTTCTTGATCCTATCGCATCAATAGAGAAATGTCATCTATTCATAATACAGAACCAGTACCTAGTTCTCCTTCACTTAGTTCACCATCTAGTAGTTAGAGTGGGTGCATTAGAGCCAATCAATTATTGTAGAATTGACTCTTTATAATAATGTTCATTGATCAATAAAAATGTGTTTTATTCTATATCGCGTAAATCATTATCGTATGTATTGATATATGTCCTTAGAATGATAGAACCACGACGAGGGTATCAAGTGTTTCAAATCTTGATAGTGAGAACCCTTTGAGCACATATGGTGGCCATTCTAGAAACGTCCGTAGCCCTAGTAGTATTCTGAAGTAAGAGTATAGATAATACGGTAAGGCTATCATAGTGTTGAACGACTTTATCGAAAGGCGGTGACTGATCTCACTTGTCAAGTTTGTTTGGTGACAACCTGGTGCAACACACAGCAAGCACTAGACTGTCCCACCAAAGGATTCCATATGGATAGTGACCCTAGTTTCTATAGAATAAATCCTCTAACGAATGGTGGTGCATGTGATCCTTAGACTTGAGATCACCAGAGCGCCTTGTGCACATATTGGTGTAGTTTGACACTAGCCCAACACAATTCTATTCAGAGCTGTCAATACGATAGTGATTGGCTGCATTAACGAGTGTATCAAGACTATGGTGGATCGATAGAGGATTCATCACTTCTGGGTACGGGGGAAGTTATCTCACGGCGCAATTCAGTAAATGGCAATGACACTAAAACCATGGCCACCGTGAGATTGAGTTGTTGCTCTATCCAATTTATTATTCCAGTCATTGGTCTAGTAACTGAATACATACATATCGAGAGTAGCTTAGGTTGACACTATTTCTATGCCTCGGTCTCGATGAGATAACAGATGATGAAATGATTGGATTGTACGATAACCATATCGTTGACAGGTAGCTGCTTCGATGAATCTGAATCTATCGAGTGGCCATGATGTCTTGTTAGGGGTCAATTTTGGTCTGTGTGTAGTGAGACGATTAATTGATGTTAATCATGATACTACACACTACCGGTATGATAAGGAGCCTAAGGGTCACACACATAAAAGATAATTTAAGATGCAAGAAGAAAGAAGGGCGTTTTCGTCTTTTTAGGCAAAAGTGTATTTTGGTAATCTCATAGTGCAATTAAATTTGCTGAGATTGTAGCCTTTATTTAATTTGATATTAAAATTAAATAAGTGAGATTATATTTAAATATGTGTACACATATATTTAAATGAATTATTGTTATTGTAAAATTTTAATATATTTTACATATATTAATTGAATTTAATTGAAATAATGATAATAAAAATAAAAATATCTAAATGGGGTTGTTTGGACATAGGGGCTGTTTGGGTTGGTGCCCAAGCCTATTCCACGATGGAATACGACATTGTGTGCACTATATAAGAGCAAGCTTTTGTGGAATAAAATAACAATTCATTCAATCACTTTTGATTAAAAATTCCAGCCCCCTTTTTCTCTTTTCCCACACCACTTCACATTTGGTGGAATCAAATATTACATTTAATTCTTGTTCTTGATTCTTAAGGCTAAAGAGGATCTAGCAAATCCCTCTTTAGCTCTTTGGATTATTTTTCTATGGACTGCCGCTGGTTAGATCCTATTCTTGGATCAATAGCGAAACCCATTCAGAGACAAGTTGGAGGGGCCTCCAAACGTGCGTGTGATTTCTTGACTCTAAACTGATTTTTCTATAGATTCTGATTTAATGTATAAATTGAAAATTAGTGCCCTGATCTTGGTTCCAAGGAACGATTTGTGTTATATATAATTTTTGCTTTCCGCTGCCATGACTTGATCGTTTCCTAACAGTAGTCAACATTCTACTCATGTTAATACTTCACAACTCAGAAAATCTACAAGACCATCAAAACCTCCTATTTGGACATCCGATTTCATTTGTCCTACACCTTCACAACCTAATCTAACCAATCTTGTCAGATACCCTATTAAAGATTCATTGTCTTATGCTCATCTATCTTTATCATACCAAACCTCTTTATCCAAGTTTTCACCGTTAACTAAACCAAAAACTTTTAATCAAGCTTCTAAAGATCCTAATTGGGTTGATGCTATGGAAAATGAGATTCAGGCTTTAGAGCCTAATGCCACATGGTCCTTGGTCCCTTTACCATCTTGTAAGATTCCTATTGGTTGCAAATGGGTTGATAAACTCAAATATAGAGCTGATGGTTCCTTAGAGAGATATAAGGCTAGATTAGTTGCAAAAGGATATACCCAGCAAGCAGGGATAGATTATGACGAGACTTTTTCCCTTGTTGTGAAAATGGTGACTGTTCGGATAATTTTAACCTTAGCTTCCATGTATAATTGGCCTTTATATCATATGGATGTGGATACTGCTTTCTGCAAGGTGATCTACATGAAGATATCTATATGAATGTCCCACAAGTTTTTCATAAGCAAGGAGATCAAAATTTAGTGTGCAAGTTACATAAATCTCTTTATGGGTTGAAACAAGTTTCTGGAGCTTGGAATCACAAGCTAACTACAACCCTTATCTCTAGTGGTTTTAAGGAATCTACATTTGATTACTCTCTTTTCATAAAAAGGGTCAATTCAAAAGTTGTTATCTTACTGGTTTATGTGGATGACATAGTCATCACAGGGAATTATGAGTCCTTAATCAACAAGATGAAGACTTTACTTCATTCTCACTTCAAGCTTAAAGACTTAAGATCTTTGAGATATTTTTTGGGATTGGAAGTTGCTAGATCTACTAAATGTATCAACATTTGTTAGAGGAAATATGCACTAGATTTAATAGCTGATTCTGGTTTGTCTACCACTAAACCTACTTTGATTCCTCTTAACCAGAATGTGAAGTTTACATCTTAGGCTTATGACAAGCTTTTTAATATTGCTAATGATCTAGTTCTTTCTGATCCAACAATTTATCAAAAACTTATAGGTAAATTGTTGTATCTTTATGACCAGGCCCGATATTTGTTATTTAGTGTACCTATTGAGTCAATTTATGCAGCTTCCCAACCAATCTCACATGAATGCTGCTTTAAAAATTATCCAATATGTGAAGGTTGCACCTAGTCCAGGTTTGCTCTTTCCTTATACCAATTCCATGTAATTATTGGCTTTCAATGGCTCAGATTGGGCATCATGTCTTATGACTAGAAGGTCTATCATAGGATATTGTGTCTTTCTTGGTCAATCTCTTATCTCCTGGAAATCTAAAAGACAAGCCACAATTTCCAGATCTTCTTCAGAAGCTGAATATAGGGCCATGGCTTCCTCTGTTTGTGAAGTTGTTTGGATTACTCAGCTTTTATCTGATCTTGGCTTCAAGGATTTAGCACATGTTTCCTTATATTGTGATAATTAGTCTACTCTTCATATTGCTTCTAATCCTATGTTTCAAGAACTGAACACATTGATATTGATTGTCACATAGTCAAGACCAAGCTCAAGGATGGTTTGATTAAAACTGTTCATATTTCTACTAATGAGCAACCGACTGATCTCTTTACTAACCCTTTGGGTAGCAAAGTTCATCATATCTTCTGCACAAGTTGGGAGTGTTAGACATCTATCACTCATCAACTTTTAGGGGGGGGGGGGGGGGGGGGGGGGTGTGTTGTTGTGGGGGTTTATTGGTAATCAGGTCTTATTGTCCAGATTGTTTTACTTTAGTTTTATTAAGTTAGTTTAAATAGTTTAAGCAATTGTATTTGTACAGCTTAGGTTGTTGTTAAGTAGTAGGGATACAATTGTACTAACTCTAGTTAAATATAATACCATAGTTAAGTCTTCTTTTAGAAGACTCTAGTTGAAGATTAGTTTAGATATAAAAGAGTCAATGTTGTAAAGTGGACAAGAGACTTGAATGATGAGTTAACGAAGAAATTTGTTTTCCAATAAGTTTCTTCTTTCCTGTTTATTACTTCCTTCTCTATTTGTTACATAAACCGTTAAAATCCTTCAATATTTTTTTTTTTATTTCATTAAAATCCAAAAATAAGATACAATACAAAAACTTGGATAATCATTTAACTTAATAATCATTAATTAATTAAATATTTGTAATACTGATAACAACTCGAGTGCCGACTTCAATTTGTTGTCAATGTCAATCACATATCGGTATCTAACACTGCCTTTGGTAAGACAGTCCATGATCCATCGCTGTAACCTCAATATCTGTCGTTATACTTTGCTCGGCTGAAAAATATAACATTTCTTGAGTCTCCTTTATTCCCCCACATATAGATCCACCCACGATCTTCCTCCCTATAATTTTGAAACAATTGATAATTAATTAGTCACAATTCCAAAATAAACAGAGAAAAGGAGTATCGTATTCATATGCAATGCATTAATTCTCACCCATAATAAAAGGAAAAATTGGTAGCTCTAGTGGCTTCTCTAGACAAACAATTGGAACAAGCTTTCATTAGTTTTCAATAATCTAATCAGTGCCCTATAAAGCATGAGGCGTAGCAGCCTATATAAAGAGACAAGATAATCTCACCAATTAAATACATCAAGTTATTGAGGAAAATTAAACAAACACACACACACACACACACACATATATATATTACAAAGGAAATTGAATATATACCTTTATTTCATCTTGGTCACTGCTAACCGAAAAAGAATTAGCACCAAGATGTTCAATAGCTACTTTTTTCTTGGTAGCAGACCATAGTGTTTTTTTTTTTAATTCTTATAGCCTATACAAATTTGATAACCACATGACATGGCCTAGCCTACCCAGACCAATCACACCCAAATGCATATCAGGTTTGTCAAGTTCATAGAATCTCAAAGGATTGTGAACATTGATACTGGCACAAAGGAGAGAAGCATTGACATCACGAGGGAGGTTGTCAGGAATATGGTCAATGAACTCTTCATTGGCAACCATAATGTCAAAAAAGCCTGCTTGTGTAGTGGTTCCATCATAGTATTTAGCACTTTGGGTTGGTATCATTTTTGGGCAGTAATTCTCAAGATTGTTAGACATAGTTGTCACAATAGTGGCAACATCAGACTAAGCACTCATCGCCAACTTTAACAATATTCTTGTAGTGTTTGTCTCCAATTTTGAACTTTTATACCTTGCTTACAATGTCTATCACTATACCCAATAATCTCATTCATGTATAGTAAAAAAACAAAGAAATAGTAGGAACAAGAAATGTTAAGGAGAAAGCTTCAATATTTTTCACAATTGGTAGGCTTAAATAGCCAATATACAAGCCTTAGGTCTTTAAGTTTAGGATCTAGAACAATATTATCTAGATACAAAATAGAAAACAAATAATTACAAAAATCCAGCTACTAGGTATACAATATGAGATAAACTAGGAGTCTTGTTTTGTTAACACTTTCCCTCAATTTTGTACGTAGATATCACTCATGCCCAACTTGTCAAGACAACTATTAAACATTTGAGTTGACACAACCTTGGTGAGTATATTAGTAAGTTGGTCTTGAGATCAAACAAAAGGCACTTCAATAAGCTTTGCTTCCAATTTCTCCTTAGTAAGGTGTCTATCGACCTCAACATGCTTAGTTCGATCATGTTGAACTGGGTTATAAGCAATATCGCATATTGACTTATTTTCACAGTATAATCTCATATGACTAGCCTGCTTAGTATGTAATTCCTGCATTAGATTTCTAAACCATAGTAATTTGTATATTACCTTAGCCATTCCTCTATATTTGGCTTCGGCATTGGATCTAGCTACTACTTCTTGTTTCTTACTTCACCAAGTAACTAGATTCCCTCCTACAAATGTGAAATATCTAGATATAGAATGTCTATCATCAATCGACCCATCCCAATCATCATTTTTATAACCTTCAATCTTTATGTTATCTCCTTTTGTAAACATGTTTCCTTTTCTTGTAAGAGACTTCAAGTAGCTAGCGCAGAATATGAGTGACAATATTCATATGTTCTTCACTAGGGGAGTGCATGAATTGACTTACAACACTTAGCGCATAAGCCAAATTAGGTCTAGTATGTGCAAGATACATTAGTCTCTCCATTAGTCTCTGATAGCAGTCTTTGTTAAAAGGAACTTGGTTTGGATATACGCCCAATTTTAGATTTTCTTCCATAAGAGTGTTAACTGGTCTGCAAGTTGACATACCAGTTTCATTCAACAAATCTAAGGTATATTTCTATTGAGACAAGAAAATACCTTTCTTGGATCTTAGCACTTCAATTCCTAGGAAATACTTCAACGAACCAAGATCTTTCATTTCAAACTCATGGGCAAGATGGTTCTACAATGCCTTTTTTTTTCTTCTTGATCATTTCCAGTCACCATCATATCATCAACATACACAATAAGAGCAGTGATCTTTTTTTTATTATTATTATTCAAGAAGAAAGTATGATCCGAGTTACTTTGTCTGTACCAAAAAGCTTTCATAGAACTTGTGAATCTTCCAAACCAAGCTCTAGGAGATTGCTTCAAACCATACAAGGACTTCCTCAATTTGAAAACATAATTGCTTCCTTCAATATGCATGTTACATCCACGAGGCAATTCCATATATACTTATTCTTGGAGATCTTCATGCAAAAACACATTCTTTACATTGAATTAGTATAACGGCTGCAAACAATAAAATCTACCCAGAATTATCGCTGGGACACTGAGCCACTAACAATCTCGGATTCTTGTAGAGAGACACGAAAAATGAACATGAAGCATGTAATACCCCATATTTTTCCAGAATTTTATTTAATTTTATTTTAAGATTTTAGTGCAAGAATTTGAAAGCCTTAAGGGAGTAAATTGTAATAGCTGAAACAAGAGAGGACCAAAATGAAACTTTGCTAAGATATTTTGGGTGAACAGTGTTCGCCCAAAATGAGTGGCGGAAAAGAGAGAAAGAAGAGGAAGAAAAGAAAAAGAAAAAGAGAAAAAAAAGGAGAGAAAGAGAGAAGAGGATGGAAGAAGAAAAAGAAAAAGGTTTTAGACAAATAGGTGAATGGAATATTTTTGTGTTAAGAGATTTCATGGTGTTAATGTATTTGTTTTAGTTTAAGTGTATAATTGTATGTTATGTGTGTGTGGATGTTGACTTGGTGTTGAACGGATGCGGTTGAGTGAAAATCCAACGATTCTTGGAAGGATTGGTTTGATGTGTGGGTTGTGGAAGAGTTGAGAGTTGTTGAGAGAGAGATGGGTTTTGGGTTGAATTGTGGATCATGAAGATCTCAACTTGGAGAATTTGTGTTTATTGTATGTTTAGGATGGGTCATTGTATGCATATGAATGTTAATGGATTGAATTTAGTGTGAGGAGATGGATTGGGAAGTGAGGAAATTGAGAGAAAACGCGGTTGGGTTAAAAGAAACCCAAATTTTGGTTAAAATCTAGTCTTCATCGCGGCAAAGAAATTTCCTCGCCGAGGCGAAGATTTCAGGGGGGGTTATGTGTTAGTTTTGAAACCTATCACAAATTAAGTGTAATATTTTAAAAGTTAAGGGACTTAAGTTGGAGTAGGAAAAAATGGGAAGTAACGCGATATTTTACTTGAGTGGGGTTTTTTTATGAAAAATCAAAGAGCGATCAGTGTTCGGTTATGAGGCGATTTTGTTAAAGAAGAAGTTAAATTAATCTTTTGGTGTGTGCGTTGTCCAATAGGTTTAATATTGATGTGTTACTATAGTGAAACCTTTACATGGAGAGTTCATTGGACTGCAGATAAAGGAAGACAAGTGAGGCACTGTTGGAGGATTCTGGCCCTTCTTCGAGTTGAGGCTTTAGCTCTAGAAAGGTGAGTGGATTAGTAATTGCATTAACAAATCTATGCATCATCATCAATTTATATTTAATTGGGATGTTTATGTTGGTTTTATAATATATTTGAGTAAGGGAAATATTATGTCTAGTTTGGAATAAATTGTTAGCAAGCATTTTGTATACTTGTGGAGTATGAACTTCGGCAAAGTGATGAACTATGAGAGGTTTGCATGGGTAGACTTTGAATGTTTAATTGTCTATGACCCTTTCCTTTTGCTGGAATTTGGATATTAATTTAGAATTTGTAGGTCTAATTATTTTGGGTTATATGGGGCTTAATGGAAGTAATTGGGCCCTATGGCGTTTAGATTTAATTGAAGTAATTGGGCCCTATGGTGTTTAGATTTAATTGAAGTAATTGGGCCCTATGGTGTTTGGATTTTAGTTGAAATAATTAGGCCTAATGGTGTTTGGGTTTAAGTAAATGGGCTTAATGGTGTTGGTTAATTGAAATAGTTGGGAAATCCAAGAGTATGATGTGTTGAATATGCTGGTGAGTGTGTAAGGATGTGTTTGGCTCGGAGTGAAAGGGTATGTTGTGTTGGGATCTAAGATCACCCTTCCATAGTGCCCATCCCTCTTTAGACATTAGCTAGCCTATATTTTGTTTCTTAGCCTCTTGCGAGTGTTGAGATGGTTCTTACTACAGCATGGTGGTAGCTTCCTATTGGGACAGTATGGATGCCTAAGGAGCTCCAGGCGGAATGTTATGGGATACCATATCATGAGACCCTGAGGATAGATTGTGGGTCGAGTATGGTTATCCAGTGATGAGTGTCCCAAAGATAGATTGTGGATGGTACCACCCCGAGGATAGAGCGTGGGTGGGATATTGATACATGACTCCTTTAGGATAGATTGTGGTTGAGATTCTTCTATATTATTTCATATCATGACACCCCGAGGATAGACTGTGGGTCGAGTATGGCTATCTTGTGATGATTTAGCCATCCCTATGATAGACAGTGGATGATGTCATCCCAAGGATAGACTATGGGTGGCCTAGTTGGTTGTCTATATTAGGGACCTTGGGTACTAGTGTGGTGGTTGTGGTGGTGGTTGTAATAATGATGTGAGAAGAGTTGGTAAACTACCTAGCGGGTATAGGCTGGGGTGGAACTTGTGAGCACTTGATGAGTATTGGTGTGGATTTTGTGTCAGGAAATGCCTATTCCGCTTTGATGATCAGTGTATCGTTTGTATGAGTTATCACATGATGATCCATGGTATTTGGAAGGTGTGTGCAAGGATGCAAAATTCCTTGTTGGGTACGAGTGGATACGAATTAAGGATTTATCATGTTCGGAATTTATACAAGGAAATGGTGGTCTCGCTAAGGGAATGGTTACGTGTTGCATGAAATGCAAGTGTTTTCTCATGCAAGTTTAAGGTTGAAGTTATTTTCATTTCTAAATTGGATTATCCACTCATTAGGCTTCATAATTCACTGTTTTACGTTTTTCCTCATGATTGCATACAGGGTACGTGAGGCATATGCTAAACGCTTTTGATTGACCACAAACGCACATTCATCGATATGATGTTTGTACATATTAGAACACTTTGATAAAGCGTTTTTATGTAAACTGATTTCTAATATTTATACTTTCATAATTATATTTTAAGTTGTACTACAATCATTAAAGTTTTATGAATAGATTTTTTTTTTTATAAACTGTTTTCGAAAAATTCACCCTCTTCTTAGGATCCTGAGTCCCTCGAAGCGCTCGGATCCGACGGGTAAAGAATACTCGGGAGGGGGCGTGACAAAGCACTTCAGGACACTGGTGTGGTATTTACCCTAGGCACTCTGACGCTCAAGTTAGCAAAGTTGTGATAGAAAACTGAATGGAAGTAAGAATAAGGATGATTACCGTGTTTCGAGATTAGGCAAACTGATTTCACCGTAGAAGGGTTGGAACTCAATTCTATGGGAAGACTGCAAAAAGCGGGGGAATTATGTAAGGCTTGCGTTAGAATGCTTGGATTTTGTATATGTCATAGATCGAACATTTCTCATCCATCAAAAGGATCATATGTACTCTTGTCACGTCAACAATCAATTAATGTTTTTTATAACCTCCCTTCCTCCTTATAATTTATATACATTTGTAAAAGTTTTCTATATAATTGGTGTTGAAATGAAGAGTCTATATAATTAATGAGAACATATGGGTGAAACCTTGTATTTATCGAAAAGACTGTTTGATATCATGGGATCACAATCCTATATTTCACTTTTATAATGTTTTGGAAATATTAAATAACTAGGGGTTATTTGAGGCATATAATTAGGTTGTTTAAATATTGAATTATATACATAAACCAAAACCATAAAACGACATTCTCATATCCATGAATAAGAATTCTATTATTCAAATTACAATTCAATTTTAAAATCAAAATAGAAGACCAAAATACGACAACTTAGTTAATCAAATATCTAAATACAAAAAACAAAAAGTCTAAACGCTCCGCTTTGATGTGTTGCCAATATCAATGACAAATCAATATCTAATATCGCCTTTGGCAAGACGATCCATTGCAGTATTGAGATACTCCATCGTTATAACATCAATATATGCTGCTATATTATGTTGGGATGCAAAATACAACATTTCTTGAGTCTCCGTCATTCCTCCACTTGCATATCCACCCACTATCTTCCTCCCTATATAAACTCCAAAACAGTTAACTAATAACCAGAATTTCATATCAAAAAAGAAAGAAGAGTATTTGCACCAAGTTGGCCGGCATTATCATATTCATATACATATGCTTACCCATGAGTAATGGAAAAACTGGTAGCCCAGGTGGTTTCTCTAGACAACCAACAAGAACAAGCTTTCCATTAGTTTTCAATAGTCCAATCAATGGTAGGAGAGGATGAGGCGGAGATACCTGTATCAATTATCCCATCCATTGTGCTAAGGGCAGCCTATATACACAGCCAAGATAACACATTAATTGAAAAAACATGAAAGACCGTCCATAGATCAAGTTATATATTGAGGTACTTAAACAAATTAACGTAGTTCGAAGCAAATTAAATCTATACCTGCGTCTCTTCTTGGTCACTACTAACAAAAAACGAATAAGCTCCAAGATTTTCAATAGCAAATATTAAGAGTCAAACATGCGTTTACATTGTAGCCTCTGCAATGCGTACATAATACATTGCAGAGGCTACAATGGAGATGGGATTTATGCTTTGCAATTGTAAATTGCTTTGTTACTCTTTTTTTTTTTATTTTTTTTTTATTTTTTCTTCTTCAATACTTCTCCAAAAAATTTAAAAGTTAGTTTGGCACATTCAAATTTTTTTTAATATTATTGTTACAATCTTAGAAGTTGGCAGTAAAAATACATGTAAATGAATTTCATCTAATCAATATAAAAAGCATAAAAAATATTAAAAATATTAAAAATATAAATAAATGGGTATTTTGAGGACTATAATGTGAGGTTTATAAAGACATTTGCATATACTAAAACATTTTTATTGGGGTAAATTTAGAAGTGGGGTCTTGAAAGATAAAATGTGGGAGGCCAAGAGTATCACTCTTATTTTTATCATCACAATTTTATAAAGTAATATTATGGTCAATTGTTTTCCAAAATTTAATTATATTTTTTATTTAAATTATTAGAATTTATGTCAATATATATATATGTAAATGGTAATGATTTTTTTTTTTAAATTATTTAAAGTACTTGAACTTTTCTTCTAAAAAAAAATAAAATTAACGTGATAAAATTGTTTGATACTTGTAATTTGCTAATAATATAAGATGTAAAAACTCTCGATATCATTGGAGCACCTATACCATTGTATATTTCATGTTATAATGTTTTACAAATATTAAATTTGTTATGCCTAAAAAATCAAGGTTGATGTAAGCCTACATCAGCTAGCTCCAATCAGAGTTCAGGAAGGTTTTGTGCTGTCCAGGGGTTGCCACGTCGCCCTAAGGCAGAGAGAATACGACTGTCACCAACTTGACAGATTCAAGTTTTGTCCATAAATGAATGGGAGTTGCACACTTGTCCAAGCCCCAAGTAACTTAAGGAAATATCTTAAGTTATCAGCTAATAGGAGGCAAGGAAGGACTTACATGACACCTACCTACTTGTAGATTTGTAATCATTACCTTGAATTCTTCTATTATAAATAGAGAACAAACAATCCCCCCCCCCCCCTCTTTTTCATTTTTGGGATTCTGATACAGAAAACTTACATTTTGATTGTAATCTATATCTTCAGAGCAAAGATAACCTGCAAGAACGAGATTGACTTGATATTCTATTTGAATAATCAGTCGTTGTGCCTCTGCTCGCTGTTCGCTATTCGCGATCTTTGTAATTTCTCATATATACAATAACATTGGACGTAAGACTTGCGTTAAGTATCCGAACTACTTTAAAAATCGTCTTTTATTTATTATTCAATCTCTGCATTAGATTATCATATTCATTCACGTATAACTTCTAAGAACTACTTAGCGCTTTGCACGTGCAAGTCATTGGTGTCAAAATCAAGCATAAAAAAAAATTAATATAAGATTAAAGACAAGAATGTAATTACGTCATTAATTAAGTACTTAATTATCCACATAAACCAAAAGCTAGCATAAAACAGTATTGCTCAAAGCCTTCGATAATTTTTATTTATTTTATTAAAATCCAAATCCCACAACTTGGAATCTTGGGTAATGATCTAACTCAATAGCCATTAATCAATTAGATACAGAAAACAAATCTAAGTGTTTGACTTCAATGTGTTGCTAATATCAATGACAAATCGGTATCTAACATCGCCTTTTGCAAGGCGGTCCATGGCAGCGTTGACGTAGTCCATTGCTGCGACCTCAGTATCTGCCGTTATACTTTGTTCGGCTGCAAAATATAACATTTTTTGCGTCTCCTTTATTCACCCACATGCAGATCCACCTACTATCCTCCTCCCTATTTTTAATTCGAAAATAATTGATAATTAGTCACAATTCCAAATCAACAGAGAAAGGAAAGTACCATAGTCATATGCAATGCATTAAATCTCACCCATGAGCAAAGGGAAAACTGGTAGCTCTAATGGCTTCTCTAGACATCCAATAAGAACAACCTTTCCATTTGTTTTCAATAGTCCAATCAATGGCTCTAGAGCATGAGGTGCAGATACCGTATCGATGATACCATCCATTGTGCTTATAGCAGCCTATATGCACAGTCAAGATAGTCACATTAATTAAATAAATAAATCAAGTTTATAGGCAAAATAAACAAACATATATATTTCAAAGGAAATTAAAAATATACCTGCATATATCTTGGTCACTACTAACCAAAAAAGAATCAGCACCAAGATGTTCAATAGCTTCCTTTTTCTTGTTAGTAGATGTACTAATTACAGTTGATGAAATATGGAATGCTGAGGATATCCATGCTGGAATCAAGCAGTGATTGATTGTAATATTTTGTAATTAAGAGTTTATTGTTTTTTCCTTTACAGTATTATTTCCTTTCCTTATTGTATTCAAAGCCACTGTATAAATTGGCCAATGTACATTACAGAATACAATATACAAGAATACAAATTTCTCTCTTTTGCTTGATGTTCTTTGGCCATCATTTCTGCCCTCTTTATCAAGCTTTCTTGTAGGCATACTTCGGCAGTCTTCTGTCCTTTTTGCCACCTTCAATCTCAAACTCTGACATGGTATCAGAGCTAACCTTTGCTTCCGCTACAGTCCTCTCCAAACCACTGTTTTCCTAAACCTGCAAAACAAGCAATAGAATTAGTTTTTTTTTTTTTTTTTTTTTCATCACAAATGGACCCAACCACAATACCAGACTCAGCATCCGTAGCCACAAATGAAGGCCCACACAACCAAATTCCACCAGGCCCAAACACCCACACTGGTCCAAATGCTCCACCAGGCCCAAACATCCACACTGATCCAAATCCTCCACTAGAGCCCAACCAACAACCCGGATCCAGTTTTCAACCTGGCCCATTCCCATTCGGGTTTATGGGTCAAAGCCCTAACCCGCTGGGTCAAAATCCCTACTCAGTTTTCCAATTTCTTCCAGCCGCCACCGGTCGACCGGAACCAGGGGATGCCCTTTTCTCACCGGTTTCCGATGGATCGGAACTGGTACTCATCAAACAGCCGTTGGCCGGATCTCAAAACTATGCCACTTGGGCCAGAGATTTCCGGAGTGCTCTAGTAACAAAAAACAAAGAAGGGTTCATCGATGGAACCCTTCTCCAACCCACTGAACAGCATCTAATCCATCACTGGATTCGATGCAACACCCTTCTTCGTGCCTGGATCAACAACTCCCTAACCTAGGAGATTGTTGTCAGCTTGCCTCAGACCGAAAACGCTCATGAGATGGGGACGAACATCCGCGAGATGTACGGCCAACTCGATCTAGCAAAGCTTTTCACTTTGCGTAAAAACCTCCTGGAAATCAAACAACACAATCTTCCAGTCACGGTTTATTTCAATCGCCTTTCAGTGATTTGGAATTAGCTCGATGCTGTTGAAGAACCGATTGAAGGGCCATCCGCGATTCTTCACCGGATCAGACACCTGAAAGACCAAAACAGGTTAATACAATTTTTACTTGGTTTAAATGATAGTTTTCTGGCTTTTCGAACGCAGATATTGGCTACGTCCCCTGTGCCATCTCTCCGACGCACCTATCAACTGGCCGTCCAAGATGAAAGCCAAAGATTGGCTTCGTCTGACTCCCAATCCAAAACTAAAGCGATTGCCTTCTCTGTCCATTCCCAACGGCGGCAGAATGGACCATCTGAAACGAACACTAGACATGACAAAGGGAGGCTAAGGCACAATGCTGGTGAACACAATAATTTATATGGGGGAATCAACGGCCCAGATGTGATCCCCTCATCCAACGGCTCAAGTCCAACTGGGCTTAATAATCGTTTGGGCCCAAATTTGGTTCCCAGCCCAAACTCCAGAAATAGCCACATTTTTGCAGCTGGCCCAAACTCAGGTAGTAATCCGGCGCACTTCATAAATTTTAATTCTTCCCAAGGGTCATTCAAGTCCAACAAAAATCGTTATTGCGATTTTTGCAAACGGAGGAACCACACAAGAGAAATGTGTTGGAAACTCCATGGCCGCAACCAAAATCACCGGTCTGGATCTGCCACCGCCAATCAAGTAAGTCACCCTGTCAATTCTGAGAGTACTGCTACGGTCCCTATGTTTAGCCAAGAACAATATCGTCAGATTCTGCAACTGCTCAATCAAAGTTCGCAGCCCAATTCCACATCCTATGCAGGTATATCTTTTTGTTCCAATATTACAAAAGAGAATTTTTGGATAATTGATTCAGGGGCCAATGACCACATTGTTTGCGATCCCAAGCATTTTTCAAAAACATTTCCCATACCATACACATCGGTCCGCATGCCAAATGGGACACATGCACCAGCTACCCAATTAGGAACTGTTCGTCTCAATAAACATTTAATTATGCATAATGTCTTGTTTGTTCTTGCTTTCTGGTTCAATCTCATCTCTGTCTCGAAACTTTGTCAAGATAATGTCTGTCTCTTAAAATTTTTTCCTAACAAATGTGAATTTCAGGATCGTTTGACTGGGAAACTGATGGGCTTGGGTAAAGTTCACCAAGGCCTTTATTACTGGATATGTGCTCCTGATGCTAAAACTTCAATGTCTTGTAACAGTCTTTTTAACATTAATAAAACTTCTTTTATTTTGCATCAACGCCTGGGTCATAGTGCATCTATTCCACAACCCAATTGTCCTATTTGCCCTCTTGCAAAACAGTCCCGTACAAAATTTCCCAAACACACGCCTTCCACAAACCGTATTTTTTCCTTAATTCATATTGACATATGGGGTCCATATCACACAGCCAATCACGATGGCTCTAGATATTTTCTTACCATTGTAGATGATTACTCTCGGGGAACGTGGGTCTTCCTCATGCACTCTAAAACCCAGACACTCACTCATATCAGACATTTCTTGTCCATGGTCAAAACCCAATTTGATGTTTCAGTTCAACGAGTCTGGACAGATAATGCTAGGGATTTCTTCAACACCCAATGTTCGAAACTTTTTTCCTCTCTTGGTATTATCCATGAAAGCTCCTGTGTCTATACCCCTCAACAAAATGGCATTGTTGAACGGAAACATCGACATCTTTTAGAGGTCACCCGTGCCCTTAAACACCAAGCCCACATCCCTACTACCCTTTGGGGCTAATGTGTGGTCATGGACACATACCTGATCAATAGAATGCCAAGTCGAACTCTAGATGGTAAGACACCTTATGAGGTACTTTTTGGTAAACCACCTACAGTTGATCATCTCCGAGTATTTGGGTGTCTATGCTACTCTACAAATTTAAAGGGGAATGATAAATTTTCTCCTTGGGCTATTCCTTGTGTTTTTATGGGTTACCCAATGCATCAGAAAGGATATCGCCTATATGATCTCACCACAGAGAACTTCCTGGTTTCTAGGAATGTGGTTTTTCATGAAGATTCTTTTCCTTTTTTAGACAGGTCTCCCTCTGACAACTCCCAGCAGTCTTCCATTCTCTTCGAAGATACTTCCATAGCAGACTTGTTCAGCCCCTATTATACCATGCATCCCATTCCAAATATGGGACCCTCCCAGTCCACCTCTGAACCAATTTCTGTAGAGACACAGCTTCCTGGTCCTTCTCCTACTTCATCTCCAGATAACCAGTTTTCTGATCCACCTCCCCTAGAGAATACACCCATTGTTCCTGCCCCTCCTCAGAGACGTTCCACAAGGGTCACTCGCCCACCTGTTTGGACAGATGACTATGTTTGTCCTACCCTCCAGCCTACCACATGTACTACTTACCCTACTTCCAATTATGTTAATGATGATCGAGTGTCCCCTGCCCACAAGATTTGCATTACTCAGATTTCTGCACACCAGGAACCATCATGTTACTCTAAAGTTGTTTCCCATTCACATTGGTGTCAGGCCATGGCCGATGAGCTCAGTGCTCTCTCTCAGAATCACACCTGGGATCTTGTTCCTCATCCCTCTCATAGGAAACCCATTGGTTGCAAATGGGTTTACAAGGTCAAGCACCGTGCTGATGGCTCCATTGAGCATTACAAGGCTCGTCTCATTGCCAAAGGTTTCACCTAGAGAGAAGGTTTTGATTACCAAGACACATTTTCTCTCGTAGCCAAGCATGTCACTGTTCGGACCTTCTTGTCCATTGCTACCCTCCGTGATTGGTCCCTTCACCAAATGGATGTCCATAATGCTTTTCTCCACGGAGATCTTCATGAAGAAATTTATATGGACCCTCCTCTCGGACTTCGTAGACAGGGGGAAGAATATGGTATGTCGTCTACGCAAGTCCTTATATAGTTTGAAGCAAGCATCACGGTAATGGAACACAAAGCTCACAGAGGCTCTAACTAATATGGGATTCACTCAATCCAAACATGACTACTCTCTCTTCACATGGCACAAAGGTTCCACCGTCATTGCTCTTATTATTTATGTTGATGATATCTTAATCACTGGGAACGATGAGAGTAGCATTTGCACCCTAAAAGAACATCTCAACAAACATTTTCGTATAAAATATCTGGGGGAACCAAAATATTTCTTGGGCATTGAGATTGCACGATCCCCGGCAGGTATTTCTCTAAGTCAACAGAAATATGTTTTAGAACTTGTATCCGACTCTGGTTTATCAGCATGCAAACCTAGCATCATTCCTATGGAACAAAACATCAAACTCACATCACAGCAATATGACCGTGAGACAGCCTCTTCAGAAAATGACCCTCTGTTACAAGATCCAACTCCCTACCAGAGACTCGTAGGAAGACTTATCTATCTCACCATGACAAGGCCTAACATGAGTTATGCAGTCCACATACTAAGTCAGTTCATGCATCAACCCAAACAATCCCATATGGACGCAGCAATCAAGGTGCTTAAATATTTAAAAGGATGTCCTGGATTAGGACTTCTCTTACCTTGAGATGGGAATTTTGACATCACAGCTTACTACGATTCAGATTGGGGTACTTGTCCTGTAATAACTGCTTCATACTAGGATACGTATAGAAATACATCAAGTAAATATATTTATATTAGCAAAAGTAAATGGGCCCACAATTTTCTTTTAATACATTTAATCATTCTTTATACAAAGTAAGGCATCATAAGTAAAAGTTATCAAAAACAGTGGACAGTGTAGCTATTACTCCTCGCTTGCCGATGCCCATCCGACCGCGTCCTCACCTAGATCCTGCAAACACAAAGAAAAACAACGGGGTGAGCACAAAATAATGCTCAGTAAGTAAATCCTCTACTCGTCTATCCCCGTAACTCTTTCTCTTAATTCTTTCCTTACACTCTTCTCATCTCATTTATTTTCTCTTTCTGTTTCTCTTTCACATAGCTCTTTTCTATTAACTTTCTGTTGTATGTCACGGCCTCATCTTACCGGAGGCACGGCTGAGTGGAGATCACAAAGCACCCACCCACTCTTCGTGACTTCTACTCTTTCTCTTCCTCTATTCTTTCTTATATTTTCTCATTCTTTCTCACTGGAATGTCACGGCCTCATCTTACCGGAGGCACGGCCGGGTGGAGTTCACAAAGCACCAACCCACTCTTCGTGACTTCCGGTTGGAGTTCACAAAGCACCAACCCATTCTTGGTTTTTCTCATTCTCTTTACTTTTAGAGTAGCCCATTCACAAAGTTCTCTACTCTTTCTCAAACTACTTCTCAATGCACAATTAATGCATAAGGATGGTTCATGCTTAAAGTTTCTTACTTAATGCACTTTTGAAATGCACAAATGCAATATTGCATCAAAACTGTCATTCTGCGCAGGTCACACTCAAGAAGGCATAACTTGAGTTATACACCTCGGATTGCTACGGTTTTGGTCTCGTTTTAAAGCTTAGAGACAGGACTACAACTTTTATGTTTTGGTCTAAACCCAGTTCAATCCGTAAGATGCCCAAAAATCACTCAGAAAGTCACGGCTGTGACAGGGCAGTTTGGTAACATGTTTTCACTTAGGCATTTCATCAAACATTAATTGTGCATAAACAAACCCTAATTCAATTATCATTCTATTTAGTTCTCAAACCATCCAAAATGAGAGAAAAACTCTCTTGTAGCATCACATACCTACATGGCAAACACACTCCACAAAAATTTCTCCAATTCTTCCAATTTCAACCCATCATCAAATCATCACATATACTTCTCATATTCAAATATATCCAACAACAAGCATAATTCATCATCAATCTCATCTCAATTTCTCAATAATCAAAACATATGCATATTTAGAAGAAATCTCTACTCACTTGAATTCTTAAATTTTAGCTTGAGTTGGATTTTGAGTGGAATTTACTTACCTTGTGCTTGAGTAGTCTCTCCTAAGCTCTCTATTCTTGTTGGATTCCAATCTTCTCTTAACCCTAAGCATAAACTTCATAAGAACTCAAACTTTACACAAATAAATCATAGATAAAGAGCTTGATTCCTTACCTTTTGATGCCTTGAATCAAAACCCTATGAAAATCTACTCAAAAGCCCTCAAATTCCTTGGAAAAGTGAATGAAAATTTGAGAGAAAAAAGGAGGAGGAGTGTGGGGGGTGGAATGAACGAAAATGAGGGTTTCAAACCCCTAACACTTTAATTTATAACCACACTTTCCCATTTTGCCCTTGCTCTTTCTTAGAAATTCCATCTATGTCCCTTAGTCAATTACAATAATGCCCTCATTTTTAATGCATTCTCTATTAAATTCTATCTCTTTTCACTCCCCACAAGTTCAACTAATTTTGAGTGAAAAGGCCATTTTACCCTAATGAAAGTTTAAGGGATTTTCTCTACATTTTTCGCAAAATAACTTTAACAAAAATTCAACTAAGGGCCAACCAACAAATATTAACAATATATCGACCCAAATAAAAACAAAACAATAAACATTTAAGCAATACACCATAACTTAACTATGTACCTCAAGTGGGGCGTTACATGTCCCATGACCAAAAAGTCTCTTACATGATTTTGCATTAAAATTGGAGGATCTCTTATATCATGGAAAACAAAAAGGCAATCAACAATATCACTTTTTTCAGTTGAAGCAGAATATAGAGCAATGGTAAAAACAACTTGTGAGATTGTCTGGATTCTTGGATTAGTCAAAGACTTGGGAGTAAAAACAGGAAAACCAGTCATTTTGTACTGTGATAACAAAGCTGCTATTGATATCGCGGCAAATCCAGTTTTCCATGAAAGAACTAAACACATAGAAATTGATTGTCATTTTGTCAGGGAGAAAATTCAGGAAGGGATTATTAGGACTAGGCACATACGAACATCAGAACAACCAGCGGACATATTCACGAAGCCTTTGTGTAGTCGTCAGCATTCTTATTTATTATGCAAACTTGGGGTTTTCGATATCTACAAACCACCAACTTGAGGGGGAGTGATGAAATATGGAATGTTGAGGATATCCATGCTGGAATCAAGCAGTGATTGATTTGATTGATTGTAATATTTTGTAATTAAGAGTTTATTGTTTTTCCTTTACAGTATTATTTCCTTTCCTTATTGCATTCAAAGCCACTGTATAAATTGGCCAATGTACATTATAGAATACATAATACAAGAATACAAATTTCTCTCTTTTGCTTGATGTTTTTTGGCCCTCATTTCTGCCCTCTTTGTCAAGCTTTCTTGTAGGCATACTTCGGCAGTCTTCTGTCCCTTTTGCCACTTTCAATCTCAAACTCTGACAACAGTCACTTTAACTCCCATAGCCTTTGCAAATTTAACAGCTACATGGCCTAGCCCGCCTAGACGAACCACACCCACATGCTTACCAAGTTTGTCAAGTTCATAAAATCTCAAAGGACCGTAAACAGAGATACCCACACAAAGGAGAGGAGCACTGGCATCAAGAGGAAGGTCGTCAGGAATATAGACCACGAAGTGCTTATTGGCAACCATAATGTCAGAGTAGCCTCCTTGTGTAGTGGTTCCATCGTAGTATTTAGCACCTTGGGTTGGTATCATCTTTGGGCAATAATTTTCAAGATTGTTGACACAGTTTTCACATGAACGGCAACATCCCACTAAACACCCAACGCCAACTTTGTCTCCAATTTTGAACTTTTCTACCTTGCTCCCAATCTCTGTTACTATACCGACAATCTCATGCCTGCATTACACAATTCAGTTTGTCATTGTTCCTTACATTTTTCCACATAGGAGTGTACAATATATATTATGATATGATACAAGGAAAATATACCCAGGAACAAGAGGATAGGTACAAAATTCTCCCAAATCATTTTTTGCCATGTGAAGATCTGAGTGGCATATTTCACAGTATAGCACTTTAAAAGTCACGTCGTTCTCCCCCGTTGCCCTGCAAATTAAGTTGAAAGATATAATTTATCAATGTTGGGCACAGAAGCCTAATCTTCAATAAAAAGAAGCATATAATGGAAAGAGCTAGAGAGAATGCAGATGGAACCCCCTGGAGAAAGTAAAGGGAGAGAAAACAGCAGATGGATCCCTTGCTGCCCATCCAAAGGCTTTCTGATTCACTTGCTCTGATACTTGACCCATAAATTCTTTTCACTTTAAAAAAAAAAAAAAATAGAGAGGGATTAACAATGAATGTATTGAGAGAGAAATGCAGCTAATTGTTTGTGTATGTGATTGCAATTGTTCGTAAGAGTGCTTATAAGCATATACTTTTAAGGAATGATGAGATACTCTATTACGCTTGGCTTACATATTTGGTGAGCTAATGAAGTATAATATTTGAACATTCTATATTTTGTACAACACATATGTGATGGAGTCAACAATTTAATAATCAAGTTTCTAAGAAAGTCTTCAAGAAGCAACCTTTTTGGGCCAGGCCTAAGGCCAATATTTCTATCAAATGTAAGTCTCTGCTGCTTGACTTTGCTTCATAACAGGTGGAAGCGAAGGCCTTGATTCAATGAGTTGACCGATAAATCAATTAAGTGGTTATTAATGAATCATAAGAATGTATTTTTGAAAATTACTGAGCCTTAAATGTGTGATTATTAGTTCCGTTCGTAAAGATAATCAAGTCAGGATTATGCCTCCCTACCCAAAATGCAGATTTTAACAGTGTCACAAACCCAAGAAAGGATATTATATATATACAATGCAAAACCAACGCTATTATGCATTTACATTAAGATGTTTCAAAGTCAGAGACATTCCATTTTTTTTTTTCAGGTGATCGTTAATCAAGGTAAAAGGAAGAGGAACTTGCAGTACTAGCTAGGCCATTTACCTGTACATATATAATACCAATGTTCCAAAAACCGGACCGGACTATGACCCGTTCAAGGGTCCAGTTTCCAGTTGGACCATATTCTATAAAATTCCATTTTAGTCTCTAAAGGTTTGAAATTCATCAAAAACACCCCTATAATACTTGTCATAACTCCATTCTACGCATATACTCGTAAAAATATACATAGTGAAAACACATGTAAAATACCATAAATAGTTAGGCCCAGATTTTTCTTTTATTAAACATATACATTCTTTACACAAAAAGTTATATCATGTACAAAAGCATCAAAAACAAGGTGGATAGTGTAGCCATTTCCCTGCGCTTGCCGACGCCTACCCGACCGTGTCCTCACCTAGATCCTGCAAAACATGGAAAACAACGGGGTGAGCACAACTAATGCTCAGTAAGTAAATCCTCTACTCAACTATCCCTGTAACTCTCTCTCTCTAATTCTTTCCTTACAATTACCATCACTCTCTCTCTCTATTTCTCTTTCTCTTTTCTATTAACTCTCTCTCTCTAACTAGTCACGACCCCATCTGACTGGAGGCAGGGCTGGGACTCACTCCCAGTCTCCGTGACTTTTACTCATTCTAGCCGATCGGACTTGGTTATGCATGGATTCGGAACCCTTGGCCATGTGAGTGTATAAAACTCTCTCTTGGGTAAACTCGAGTCTAGCCCTCATCCGCATGCACTCTCACGGGCTACACTACTTCTCTCTCATACTCATGCCGCTCTCTCAATGCGGCGTACATGCGGGAATACTCTACCCATACTCATTGGTTCCCCATCGCATAACATACTCTATTCTCTTGTCTAGCACTACTTTCTCTTTATTCTCTAGTGCTCATTCTCTCTTTCTCTCTAGTGTTAGAGTAGTTTAAACTCAATTTCTCTACTCTCTTCTACTTTCTTTTTCTAATGCATAATTAATGCATGATTAATGCACATATGTGACTCATGTTCATTAATGCACTTATGAGATGCAATTATGCTATGTAGCAAAAATTAAGGCTTTCTACTCTTACTCATGTTTCTCTTGAGCATTTCATCATACAACTCATGTGCATATAAAGCTCTACTTAAACTATAACTTTTCTCTTTTCTTTAATTATCCAAAATGGGAGAAAGGCTCCCTTATACTCTCTAATTTCCCTGTCAAAGGAAAACACTTCTATAAATTTGCTCAAAACTTCCTTCCACTTCAATCAACTCAACCCAACATCAAGCAATCTCAACACTTCTCATATTTAAGTATATACAAAAACAAGTATAAATAACATTCATCTCATCTCAATTTCTCAACAATATACTTACACATATATAAATCTATACTCAAAAGATTTTCTTGAATCTCAACTTGGTTGGATTTACTTACCTTGTGAGGAAATAACTTCTCTAATACTTCTCCTTTCCTTTGGTAACTTGATTTCTCTCTACAACTTTAAATAACAATCACAACATAAGACTTTAACCAAAACATCATAAAACTCTCATCTAAAGCAAGAATCCTTACCTTAGGATGCTTTAAATTAAAACTCTACTAAAAACTACTTAAAAAGTCCTTAGAAATCCTTGGAAGATTGAAGGAAATTTGAGAAGAAGTAGAGAATGGAAGAGGCGGTGGAAATGGATGAAATGAAGGGTTCTTTACACTTAACCCCTTTTTAGCTCAACTTATACACAAACATCCCATTTTGCCCTTGCTATTTCTTGAAAATTCCATCCATATCCTTTGATTCCTTACAAACACACCCCCATACTAACATATTCTCCATGAAATTTTCTTACATTTTACTCCCCACTTTTCCTGCTAATTAGGGGTAGAATGGTCAAATTGCCCTTAAGAAAAAATATCTAAAACTTAATAAAACTTTTCAGCCGACCCGTCGTCGCGGCGAAGACAAATCCATCGCCGTGGCGAAACACTCCAGCAGCTACCCATGGGTTGCATCACCTCTTCGCCCCGGCGAATCCTGTAACACAACATTTCGCCAAGTCTTCATAATTTTCAGGGCAATCACTCAACAAACCCAAAACATCCATTCATCCAAGGGCCAACCAGACCAAAAATAACAACATATAAGCAATACAACAAATCTTAACTACGTACCTCAAGTGGGGCATTACAATACTCCCTTAAGGTTTAAAATCTGTCTAAAACACCCTTATCACTCAAAGAGACAGGTGAGTGGTGGCGGCAGCGACGATCGACGGCCAATCGAAGTTGGAATCATGGGGCTTTTGATGTATAGGTGCTGACGAATCTGATGGTGGTGTTAGGGAGTTCCATTGGCACTGAAACTCGCCGGAATCAACAAAAGAAATCTGACGGTCACGTAAACTTTAGGTGGACAGTGAGCGATGAAGGCTGGATGACGGCCACTGAAAATGGATGGGTTTGGTCGTGGAGATGTCGTCATGTCAAATGGTGGTGTTTTCTCCGTCGAACGATGCCAGAATCTGGAGAGATTGAGCTGCGATTGGACCGCGACTTGACAGTATTCTGGTGGTCCAACCGCAGCTCAATCTGGTTTAATGGTAAATACTGGTTTTTATGAGATACCGGACCGAAAATACTGCCTACTCCCAGTTAAACCGGTCTGACCGAACGTCCGGTCTGGTTTTCAGAACATTGTATAATACATTAAAGAAACTAAAAGGATAAAACACTTTACTCATGTCCCTAAATTATTAATCTATTCATTTGTTTTTAATTATACAATTCACTAAAATCAAAACTGAAGACAAACTACTACAACATGCATGATCCTTCTAAGTAAATATAAGGATGTAAATTGATGGATAATATAATATTAAATAATTAAGAAAAAAAACCATTGATTACACTCATAAATAAAAATATATAAAAGACACAATATCCTTGTGTTGGGGTCTAAAATCATACGAAGCCTTGCTAGGCTCAAACAGAAATGTTCCACTATATCGGCCCAAGCTTGTGATCCAATTTCGGTTGGATCAGCACCAAAGCTCATGACATGGGCCGAACCACAACCTCCAGATCCAGTTTTCTTCCAGAATGGGCGACTCCAGTGACCCACCTAAGGTTAGACCTTCCAGACCAAAGTAAGTAGCATTTTTCTTGTTTTACTTTATCCTAATTCACTCAAGATTCTGTATCTTTGGCAAATTAGGACTCTTGTTACTATTAAGTCAAGTGAATCAGGATCTTTCCTATTCATGAGACCTTTACCCTTAACGATTCAGAGTCCTATCAGGATACAAAGACCCAACAACTACTATATAAACAGATGTCACTCCCCTGTTTAGGCATTCAGTCTCAATAACACCTACCAACACCCAAGCTCTTACTCCTAAGAGCTATCCTACTATGTCGTGGTTCTAATCTCCGACTTGACCTCTGGTAACCCATCCTTCCGTTATCCTCACTAAATTGTCTCATTCAACCTTACTAACTTGAGCATCGGAGTGCCTACAACAGACATCACACTGGTGTCTAAGTAACCTCCATGCTTGTTTGCTTTGTGTTCAGGTACAGTAGATTGTCAGTGGCCTCAACTGCACGAGATCAAACCTTATTTTCGTAACCATAGATTTTAGCATCTACAGTTTGGCACCCACCATGGGGCCTCTGGCAATCGACCTTCATTCAGAATCTTGCTCTACAAAGAGTCACGCAATGGTTGAAAACACGAATACTGCCTCGACAAATCTCGCGGCTAAGGTCGAGCTCTTTCAACGCTCATGAAACAACAAGCCAAGAATAACAACATTTGGGCAGAAAATCAAAGCCCACGAGAAAAGGTAAACCAGTTTTATTCTTTTGACTTCCTATTCAATTAGATAACCGAGAACCACTTCTGCGTCTCGGTAAACCCCAAGGTAAACTACTTATGACCCCAGACCCTAGGAACTTGGCTTCCTACCATCAGCCTTCCAAGGTAAAATCATCCGTGACGGATGGATTGGCACCCACCACCACAGATACAACAAGCTTAGCCATGCAAACACACACCCTATCAACCGATTCCTCAATTACTTGTGACCATATCACTTTAGTTGTCCCAAGCCACCAGCCACAAAACATCACTAACCTTTATCAACCCCTTAGCTTCAATGATCCACAACACATCTAAGACCCCTCCTACTCGGATCACCCTTAGAGGAAAATCGATCGATTGATCCAAACACCATTTGGCTTAGCTCGGCTCATCCTAATGGGTTAAACGACACCCAAATCACATGTTTAACCATCCATGCCATTAGAAATACCCGAATAGTAACACTTGGGATGACTCACCCT